AATCCTCTAACAACCGAGTAAGTTTTCCATTTTCTCGATAATACAATTGAAAAGAAAATAACGAATAAACGGAGCAAGACTCTCCTCTTTCTCTAGCGCGCGGGTGGAAAGGGTGTGGGAAGCATAAAACACAGTATATATACAAGAGAAGGAAAAATATAATAGGGGTTGGTGTGTTGCATGGATAAGAATACGTGAGATAATAAGGCGTGCTTGGGCATCAAGCATGTCGATAGAAACCGCACGCGGCATTATTCAAATTGAATCCGGTAAGACTTATTATTGGCGAGCAACATGGACTCTGTGCGCCGTCCCATTCCACGAGAGCGCATTTGCGAATATGAGGATAACGTGGTATATATATATATATATATATATATATACTATAGGCGGTAGCGTCGAATCTTCTGATGTTTCAAGATTGGAAGAGTTGAAAAAGATACGAAGCTCCTGACTCTCAGTTTCGCATCACGACCTCCGCAAATGGTCCAAAGTATCACTTGATGATCATAATGTATCCTTATACTCTATTTCAATTTACTAATGCGCCTATACACTGTCTTTTTTCTATCATCATTTATATAAACGTATATACTCTGAAAATTGTTCTCAGTAATGTTCCTTGAACTTTAAATAAAACACCCCCCCCCCACCCATTCTCTATAACACAAGGACTCAGTTTCTGAAAAATCATCACAAAATCATTCGAATTTAAATTTTTTTTTTTAAGTCAAAGTCTTTTTTCCTTTTTATATATATTATCCTTGCTCTCCTGTCTACTGAAGAACTAGAGGTTCATGGTACTGCTTCATATTTCATGAGCGATGTATTACGTGCATGCTCGTAATAAGAATTGTTGCTTTGAGGTGGTAGATATGTTCTTTTTCCTTCTCATTGTTTGTTTGTAATATTTAGAATTCGAGTTCTATTTCTCACTTTTGAACGTTATGCGTTTATATCACCTTTTTTGTTTTTTTCTTCTTCTTTTGTTATGTGAAAAATTATATATGGAATTTCTGTCCATTTGGTAACACACGCGATATTCTGATCTAGAAAAAAAGGCGGCTTTATGGAAAAATAATTGAGAGATGACAAATTGATTCAACAACTTCGATAAACAAGATGTCTATATAGATTTTCTCTTAACCTCCCAAATGTACTTTCATGTTTTTTTTTACACTATTCCTTTTTAGTTTATATTCCCAATAGCAATGCCGTTTTGCACCAAACACCGAATCGTATATATTCAATAATCATTTATCCAGCAGTACACGTTATCGAGTATTCCCAGAACACACGTCTTTCTTTTTCTTCTTTCTTCAGATATGTACCATATGAAGGAAGGTATGCATCCCGTCATGGATGCACGAAGAGGTCTTCTTCTTCTTCTCGCGTTTCTTTAAGCAGGTCCCCGCGGTTTCGCTGAGATTATATGGGAAGCTGTGAAACCAGCTTCTCTCAAACACAAGAAATGTTCAAAGCCATCATAGCGATTAATACGTTCGACAGAAAGCACCAAAAGAAGGAAGAGTTCTCATGTTGGGCAAGTAATCCGAACACTATGCCAACTTTGGCACTAAGGTGCCCACACGGGACCAATTAGCTTTCTTGCTTTTTCAATTCCATTGCCTCCTCATATATTTTGCAATTCAATGAAATATACAGTGAAAGTATCGCCAAGATTTTATTAAAATTAAATAATCTTTCATATTAAAATAGAAAAATCCATCTTTTATCCTTCTTTGATGATCACGTATATGTACCGCAAATTAAGAAAACAAACTCATTTTCTGAATTTTTTTCTCCTTTGAATTTCGTTATACAATGCAAGATCACTTTGTTAACGAGATTGGTCGTCACAACTCAGATTCTTAACTGTAATTCCGCGCGCACTAACCATTTTCTTGTGGTTTCATAAAAATGATCATCAATTTCATTCACGCGCTTTCTCTTCAAATTTTCAACAAGTTCTATACCATTTTGTCATGAAAAATTTGAAAGCAAATGATAAACATTAGCGGTTAGGGCACTTATTTAGGATTAAATGTTTCTTTTAATATTACGGAAGAAAAATACCTTGTTATAATAGGAAAAACATTTTGTTATGTTAGAAAAACATCTTGCGTATATAATAATAGAAAAATATTTTCTAAATATTCCAAAATAGTATAAATAAAAAAAAAGTTCTTTTAATATCGGAATTGAAAAATGAAAATTCGGGTGTAAATGATAAAAGTTTATAATGGCACACACCGCGAAGATGACCTTGCGCGGCAGCTTAAAAAGATGCCAATCGCAGGCTGGATGATCGTCGTAATGTCTTGCCGCCCTTTTTTAAGCCCCCAAGCAATAACTCTCAAAGCAACAGGGATCCCCTAGCGTTACGTCGACACAGACGCTTCTCAAAACGAGTTTCAACCTAACTCCATAAAACCCGCACTTAAGTTTCTCAATTTCCTGACGTGAAGCTGCCGAAATTTCAGGATCTCAAAAACAGTATAAAACTGACAAAAATCTTTAATATACAAATATCTACGATCTGATAATTTCTCCTTCCCCATCAACACTCTTTACACTGAAAAAAAAATTTATTTGATTCAAATACCGGTGTATTTGGTTATTATCAAATAAATATTTACTTGAATCAAATATTTTTTATTTGAAGCAAATATATAGTATTTGAATCAAATATTTCAGTATTTGAAGCAAATAACATTTATTTTATTTAAATAAGAAATATTTGATTCAAGTAAATATTTATTTGATAATAACCAAATACACCGGTATTTGAATCAAATAATTTTTTTTTTCAGTGTATGAATTAATATCTTCATACAAATCTGTTATACTTTACAATAAAAATTTATTTAATATTAAAAAATTAATAATAAAAGGAAAATTGTATAAAAAAAACATATTTCTTTCTCAATGCAAAAGTTTGCATAATTTATCAGCAAAGAGAAAAATTACAATGATAGTAATTTCAATAGAAAAGAGTGGCAGTAAACGTCAAAAAAGAGAAGAATACATAAATGAGGCGTTATGAATCTGGAAAGTCGACCCTGACATAAATTCAAAAAGCCTTCTACCCTCCTAACAGAGTGTTTTACGTGCCAATAAAGAGAGCACATGGAGCGTAAGAATTTAAAATTGGAAGCAAGGCGAAACAGTTAATTTCTACAGTGCATTTATTTATTCTCAACTTTAAAAAAGTAAGGTGCTATCCCAGGACAGAAAGCGTTAGTCTATAAAATTTGTTCGACGAGCTGCAATTGACGATTATCGATTACCTGTCGCAAGAATTATTCCCAACTCTCTCTCTCTCCGCACCCCTCAAAAAAAGGTTATTGAACGAAAAGAAAAAAAATATATATTAATGTATCACACATATGTTTGAGGGTGCTTTATGTATATAGCTAAAAATGAAGCTTTCCTAAAAATTTTCCACGCTTCATTCTACACTTTTTTTCCATTATATAATCAATATAATTATCCCACTACACTTTTTATATAAATTGGGTATATCGAAGGGAACTTGTATGTATTCTAAAAAGTTACGTTTCCCAGCAAACGATAATAAAATTCCAATAACAAATTAAGAAATGTTTTTTTAAACAAAGTATTCGGTTTTTTAATTTTTTTTTATAAACACGAGGAATGTAAGACAAAATATAGATTTTTGGGTTTGCATCGCCAGCTGTCGGACGATGTAGAGCGAAAACGAAATGATGAAATAAGAGAATATATACGTTGTAGAACGAGGAGAAGATGAAGGTGGTCGATGAGGAGGAAAAAAAGGGGTAAGGGAAGAGGAAGAAGACAAAAACGAGACATTAGCGCTCCTTGGGCTACCGTGTATTCTTCAACTGACCGCCCGCTGATGTCCATTTCTACTTTCCAAATTAGCATTATTACCAACTCAAACCCACAAAAATGCAATCAATGTATATCCGTCCGTCATAAAAAAAAGAACGACTATGCCGCAAACATTCTCACCGAGAAAATTTAATGTTAACGATCCCTTTACTATAACTGCCTTAATGATCCAATTTTTACGACGATGTACTTTTTACATAATGTCCTATTATTCAATGTCATTACTCTTTTTTAAGTTTCTTGATTATACTAATAAATAACCAAAAAAAAATTAATTTAATATTAAATTAATTATTAAATGTTTAATTTATTATTTAAATTATTTAAATAATTTGTTTAATCCATTTATATACTATGTAACTAAATATAAAAAATCTGTTCTATGAAATAGAAATTGTCATTATTATTTTTCTGTCTTTTAAAAGCAGGCCACGAAACGGAACACGGACTAAATAATCTATTCTGGTAAACTCACATTTCAATATCGAAGTTATGCGATTGACTTTATCTCTTATGTATCATATCAAGTCACGCGAAGTTGTATTGATTGTATCCATCTTCGAATACAAATAGCAATAAATATTCATTTTTTTCCATAATCAATAAAAAAAAAAAAAAATACTTTTTGCCAGCGTTATAATAACCAAATTATAATTCTCTAATACAGTATAGTTATATACCTACATATTATCCTAACATGTGAATTTAAATAAAAGAACAAAATATCCTTTTTTATCACAAATAATAAAATAAATTTCAAATTGTTTTGCTAACTGATTACTTTTTTTTATTACTTAATATTCTTATTTCTTTTTTATCTGATTGCAATTATATTGAATAATACTTTCTAATATGATGAAAGTGGGGGAAATTCATGGCTAATCAAAAAAAAAATTAAAGCGGCGTCTGTATTCATTACACGGACTCAGAATTTTAATCGTGACAACGTCTTTTTTAATGAATTAAAATATATTTTATAAGATTTTTATTTAATATTTATTTTGTATTTAAACACACTGAAAAAAAAGATTTATTTGATTTAAATATTTCCTAGACCTTGGAGTAAGACGTTGTCACGTCAAAAAATACAACTAAATTTTTTTGTAATAAAGTAAAATATTTACCTTAATGACGAATTTTCAGCTTCATGATGATTCTTTCAAACTAAATAGCCCTCGGAGATCCCTACTTTGAAGTTAAATTTCCATTCAGAAAATGTGAAAAATAACCGTAAAAATAGACCGAGTTCTAAAAAGTCTGAAACTGGAGAATATGGAGAATTCTGTGTCCTTCAAAATGAGATATCCTTTTCTACTTTTGTCCTTATCTTTGAAGTATATGTGACATCTCAAGCCATCGAGGATAGAATCTGCAAAAAGATAAATTAAATACTATCAACGCTATACTAACATGTAATTAAATCTTTAACTGGTCGGTAATATAGAAAGCTATAAAAAATTTCATTTCAAAATTTGATAAAAATAAGTGTGGCATCAAGACTAAACTTAAAGTAATCAAAAAAATCTTGAAAATATGACTTATAGTTTTCGATAACTGTCCATTTGTTGAGTTTTGACATTTACATTTTCTGTTTGAAAGATCAAAAACTATAAAACTACCAAGTTACAAGTAATTTCAAAGGAACATTTCTCCAATATTTTTTGCAAGATCATTGATAATGATAATTTCGATGCAACTATAATGGTAAAGAGTTGATGATTTTTAAATACGACACTTTTGAACAAAGATAATTCTAAATGATTATTTTCAAACCAAATCCTTATTTACGAGGAATTTTAATTTAAAACGAAAAAAAAACAATGAAGAAGAGTCTGAGGCTAAAAGATTGGATTTTTTGGCCGTATATGTATGCCTTTCTACATTGGTATATACATATCCACATATGTGTGACAGGAGCACGAAGGCTCGGACTTTGAAAGCCTTAGGGCATATAAGACGTATAGGCTTCCGTTTTACGCATCCCACCGCACACACCACTCCACGTGTGAATTCTGTTGGAAATGATTGTATGCGTGCACGTGAGACCATATAAGTGCACCAATCTCTGTGTTAGTAATTATTATTTTGAGAGAGGAGCAAAAAAAAAAGAAAAAAAAAACATCAGTGCCATACCAAACAGCGGGGATCAGAACACGGGCCTCTTCACCTATATAATCACTATCTCTCGTCATGCTCTAAAACAAATCGAGATATCTACACCCATGTGTGAAATATTTCCTAACAAATTAATATCACATTTTGATTTTAAATCAAATTTTTTTTTTTAAAAAAATAGAGAAAATTTTAATACAAATCTATTTGAAATTATTTTTTTTGCTAATTAAATAATAATTTAACTTGCATTATATTTGAGTCATAATCTTAAATAAAGTATATTTTTAGACTTATTTCTCTCTTGTATATAGTAACTTGTGCGAGAAGAACTTATAAGAATAAAAATGAGAAAATAACACTGTGAAGTTAGTAAAGTAATAAACTTCTCAGTTAGGTTGGTATTCAAGCATTGTACTTTTCTTGCAGAACATTTAAGTTGGATACACTTATGCAGTTTGCGAAGGTTTTTAAAACTTTCTCTATTTTTTTCCCTCCGTCCACCTCTCTTCTGCCGTAAATGTGCCCGCTTTAATATTTTTTCAGCTATATTACACCTACTCTAGTTATCGCTGTCTCTCTTAACATTATATACATGTATTATAACTCTGTCTCTGTGTCTGTCTGATCTTCTATTTACAAAAGTGCTTCGCTTCCGCGAGAAGTTTTTAAAAGGGAGAAATGCCCGGAGACACGTTTACGTGGCTTTGTCCCTTCGCGTTTTCTTTTCTTTTCTCATCTTCTTTTTATCTCACAGAGCTTCTCTTCCCGCCTCAGTCTCTCTCGCGTTTCCCCCGTAAATCTACAATGGACCAGCTTGTAATAAGCGGTTGCTGGGATATATACACACTATTCTACGACCTCACTTCAAAAGTGCCAAAGTATACTTTCCAAGGTGGACCAACAAACCAAACTGTAATTTATCGTAGCCTTCATTTCTAAATGATTTTCATTCTTTTTTTTTTATGAATTTCTAATATGTGATTTTAACAAAAAAAAAAAAATTAAATATCTCTTTTTCAGATTATGATTTATTTATTTGCGCCACGATAAATATAGCCCAGAAAACCTCACATTGTTTTTGATTTTTGTTTCTATTATTCCAAATAAAACTTAAAAATCAGCAACTGATTTCAAATATTTTTTTCGGTTTAAAATTACACTGAAAAAACTTTATTTAAATCAAATAATCGATTACTTGAACCAAATAAATTTTTTTTCCAGTGTAGCAAAACAAAATTTTAAATATGTTTTTTTCAGATTATCATTTATTTATTTACGCGATGATAAATAGCTCAGAGAACCTCACATTGTTTTTGATTTTTGTTTATATTATTCAAAATAAAACTTAAAAATCAGCAATTGATTTTAAATATTTTTTTTGGCTTAAAAATACACTGAAAAATATTTATTTGAATCAAATAATCGATTACTTGACTATTATCAAATAAATATTTATTTGTATCAAATTATTATTATTTAAAATGGTATTTTTTCAAATACAGAAATTATTGTTTCAAATACAGTTTATTCAATTCAATTATTTGGTTTCAAAAATTATTTCAATTTATTTTATAATAGTCAAGTAGCTGATTATTTGAATCAAATAAATTTTTTATTTGCAGTGTAGCAAAACAAAATTTTAAATCTGTTTCCTAAAAGCAAAGTTGTCGAAGGATATGCGCGGATTTCTAGAAGTAAAAGATGTGGGAGGGCTGCGTGTGCACACGGGGTGGAATGGTGTGTCTTGGGTGTCAGGGCCGTTGAAAAATTCGTCAATTAAAAAATCTCATTTCTCCTGGTAACGAGGGGTGGCGCGCAATTAACGTCAGCAACGAAAATGATTTATAGTATGAGGGTGTCGGCGTTCGTGGGACGCTGGAAGCTTATCATAAATTAATGAATTATCAGTATATACAAGATGGCGAGAGTGAGAGAGAGAGAGAAGCAGACACCGAAAACGGCGCCTCGCTTTTAGGCGCGTAAGGAATATTACGCTTGAAAAATTTATAGCCCGTCGTGAAAAGGACGAAAAGATCGTTTTGCATTTTCCGGATGGTTGTGATGAATCTTTAACGCTATATGGATTTTATAGCTACTTTTTTGGTTATTTATGCACTTTCAACTTTATTTAATCAGCAAAAATGTTTCCACACGCGGTCTTGTTGCAATCATATTAATTAGTTTCCTCTTCTAATATTAATCATTAATCAAATCTATTTATATATATTAATTCGCAAATATTCCAAAAATTATTCTCTCAAATTCCAATTAAATTAATTATAAAGAAATAAAAAAAATTTTTAAGTAATAAAAATTATTTAAATTTATGTTGGCAAATTTTTTTTTCACGAATTTTTATATCCACATAAGTAAAAATAGTTCTTTTTTGGTGAATTTTACAACATATTGGTACGACGCGAAACTAATTTCACACATTTGAAGCTGTTAATTACTTAAGCCAGTCCCTCCTACAAATGCCTCAACTGTTGCGTAAGTTTCATATAGTCAAAATAAACGATCATGCCTGCGGTAAAAATTCAAAAGGAATGGCATTTTAATATATTTTTACCTATACATGGTTACTAAACACTAGTTATTGTAATCATGAAATAAAATTCGTTAAGACCTTTTTTTATAGTGTGTTAGTGTCGGTTTCACTAATTTTGATTGAAATTTTTAAATATATATATATATTGATTACGTTCATCAATTCATTCATTAATAGTTCAACGGGTCTAAAAATATTGGATGACGAAACTATATTTTGATAATAAATATTTAACTAAATTTAATATTTGTTTATTGTTGTATTTTTAAAAAAATATTTGTGTAATTAAAAATATTAATAAAATATATTAATTAATATTATGACGATTGTTTTTATTTAATAAACTATTAATTGAAAATTTTTAAAATGATTAATTTAGATGTAGAGAATAATTACTTTCAAATTTACGTTTCATAATAAAATATTGACGGTAATTTATTCATTTTTGTAACATACGTAAAGCAATGTAACCTTGCTGTATATTCAACTACTATTTACAGTATTGTTCTGCCCTACTCTGACTGTTTATTGCCATAGCTGACACTCTTTTTAACAAGTTGTATATCTATATACTGTGCTACATATGTTAAACGACTCGAGATTAGATCCATGTGTATAAAAATTGTTAAATAAAATTTTTAAAAGTGAATTTATCAGTTTTTCAGAAAACAAAAATGTACTTTCATTCTTTGAATTTTATTTATTTTTTTATTTTATTGCCTCTAATTATATGCTACTTTTATACTCAGAAATTAACAAAGTGCAGGTAAAGTAAATTTTCAAAAATTTTAAGGTTAGAATAATAATAATGAAAATTAATTATAATAATACTGATTTTTTAATTAACAATATAAAATTAAAGAAATATAATTAAATTTAAAAAATATAATATATTAAAGAATTATTGTAACAAAAATTATGATTTAATTTGTAAAAGATGTATTTAGTATTAGAGTAAAGACAGGAAAATATATACTTTATGTTTGAAGACAAAATCACTTGTCTTGCTATTACTCCCTGCTGAGATCATGTCCAAGACATGTTTGAAGTCTAGATTGTGAGACATTGCTAGACATAGTCTTTTAAGAGGGAAGGAAATCTAATACGAGCTACTTTTACTTGAATGTATATGAATTTTCATTTAAAAAATTGATAAAATCACTTTATATAAAATATTTTCAATTTATTATTTTAATAAAAATTGAGCTCAAAATTAAAAAGTAATCATTTCTTTAGTGTATTCATTTTTTTCGTATAATATTTTATTAATAATATCAAATTTTAATTAATATAATTAATATTTATGGAATTAAACAAAATATTCCAATTTGAAAATTTCAGAATATTTCTTTGAAGTAAAAATCATAATTTTGTTATTAAATAAAATGTATTAATAAAATAATAATAATAATAATAATAATAATAATAATAATAAAGATATTAAAATTATTTTCTCTGACGTAAATAATTTAATCAATTGGAAGTATATTGAATTACCAATATTTTGTCAGAATAATTATATATACTTATAAATCTGACATAAAATTGAAAAATAAAAATTTTGAAATAATCGCCAATAAACAAAATTATTTTAGTTAAATATTTAATTATCAATGAAGTAATAAATTATTATAAAATATATAATTAGTATAATATAGAATACAAAACTCACCAAAACTAAATCCTCCTCAAATGTCAGGGGTTCTGCAACTTTTTGAATGAATATCATAACTGGTCATCAGATTTTATCAATGTTGAATATTTGGATGTTAATCGTTTTGTCCTTTGGTAATAATTTTCTGAAAACAAAACAATATTAATTATTTTATTTCTCAGATTTCAATTAATTCATCGAGTTTTCTACGTTTAGAATTTTCAAAATTATAATATATTTATAAACTGTTTAAAAAACTTAATTAATTGTAATTAATCTTTGTTGAAATTCATGCTCTGTTAAATGCATTTTAAGGTTATTTTCATAAGGGCCATACACAAATTATGTATGGTATACATATTATGTAAATTAAGTAAATAAAATTTTTTAATTTTTAGATAAAAAGCTAAATAATTAACAAAGAAAAAAATTTTTAAACTAAAAAAAAATTTCATACAAAAGAGAATTTAATTTGGTAATGTATTATCGATTCTGTTTTTCAAATAAATTTCAAGAAATAAAACACCCATTTTTAATCTAAAAAAAGAAACCAATTTATGAATTTACTTTTCTTAATGTAAAGTTACAAGAACACAAACCCCAATCCATCAATTTTATTTGCATTTTCAGGAAGTTATATTGTAAAAAGAAATTGAAACCCTGAGAGGTTTATAAAATACGACATTAATTCTTATTAGGAAGTTCTAAAAGTTTTTCGAGATATTCATTAAATAATAGGATATAAAACTCACTAAAATGAAATCATCTGCTGTTATGAATTTGCACTGAATCTATCAAATACATCAATATTCCACAGTTTATTGTTTTTTTTTCTAATTTTCTGAAAACAAAACAATATTGATTTTATTTTTCGATTTGCGGCTAATATGTCGATTTTTATGAAAAGAATTTTCTATTTTGTACGAAAAAATATAGTACAATGCATTATTTACTCTATATATAATTATATTATAGTTATTCAATTATAATTACGAGAACTAAATTATATATTTATCAAATTTTCTCAAACAGTTACATGTCCACCTTTACACAATTTAGGGTTATGTTAATGCATGAAAAATTAATTACGAAAATTTTCACCAATAAATGTTTAATAATCCACAAATAATGTATACCGTAAATATGCGTACTAGAAATAATTAAAAGTAATCTTTATTCTAAGAAATAAAGACAATAGACTACAAAATTTTATAAAAAAAAATGTAAGGAGAAAAAATTTTTTACCTATTTTCAGCCGTTGAATCCAAATTTTGCATGGTTGAAACAATACTTTTGGGAATATTTTTGAGTAACGAAAATTGTAGTCTATAATTATAATTTTCACTAATTAAACATCAAAAATTATTTTTGTGTTTGCTAATTGTTATTTCTAGTGTATTTAACTTTTTTTGTCACTAAAAAATAATATTTACTGAAAAAATTAGGAGACGTTATGACTTCAATAGTGCAATGCGAATATAGTTGCAAGTCGGAAGTTCGATATATCTAATCGAAATTTTCAAAAAAATATGCAATTAATTAAACTTGCATAGAAAATTTAGTAACAATGTTCAATAGGCTATTAAAATGAATTGAAGACTAAGAATTTGCATAAAATTGGAAATTTAGGTTAGGTTGTATCATTTTGTAGTCCTAAACACATTTTTCAAGAGATAGATAAGTTAATTTTTCGAAAAATTAAAGTTTACTTTTGAATCAATGTAGTATAGCAGAAAAAGAATACCACTTTATCGGCAGTGGAGCAACTTGACCTACGTGATGCTTACTTTTGCCAACAGATGTCTCTTAGACTCCCCAGCATGGCTACAATCTAGACAAGTGTGTTTTGTGTTGTTCTGTTTCATTGACGTGACATTTTTTTCAATGATAAATAATACTTGATAATTCGCGTACGACAATATGCTTATCTTTGAAATAAAGTTGTGACCTTCCATCATTACACACTGGCGTCAACCATTAAAAAAGAGTGTACTTGTTGCAGGGACGAAATTTGCCCTGTTGACAAAGTGCCACAAGTAATGAGTTACAGACCTTATGGGACACTTGCAAGAGCCCTTTATGAAAAAAGAAATGCTGATGATCGTTTGGAAGCCTACGACAATACCCGGGTAAGCAAATTTTTCTTTTAGAATAATTTCGATTTCTTTTTAACCTAAAAATCCTGTGCCTGTGCGCAGGTTCATGTTTATGGTGTATTGAAGACCCACCTTGTAAAAGGCTATATAGACAATTTTATATAAAAATTTAAGAAAAATTAACATTTTTGCACGAATTATTTTATGTTTATTTACATCTTAATTTTACATTTTAGTTTCTTTTCTGTTTTCTTGAAGGTGTGATTCTTTTTTTATAGTTTTATATATAGTTGTCATGTAGCTATAGCTTTGGCGCCAATTTCTAAAAGAGAGAAATTGTATTATTTTTATTTGTTTATTATTTTTCTTGCCTTTTTTCTGAAATAAGATTGTTGCCAATTTTTAGATATTTTTAGCATTCCATATTTCTTATATACAATGATTTTAGTTGTAATGATGCTAATTTTTTCTTTATTATTTTAAATTAAATAAAAAATAATTTAATTGTGATTTTAACAATGTTTACCATGCTTTTTAATTTATCTTCAACCAAAGTGTAAAATAACAATTCAATTTTTATGATAATTTTATATTTAACATTATTTTTTTAAAATTTCAATCTTATAAGTTTAAATTTCTTTAATTATCAATCTTTTTTATTTATAATTTTTAATATTTTTATTAATTATTATAGTTAATTGTAATTAGATAGTAAAATTAGTATGAAATTAACAGGAAATTATTATTTTGATCATTGCAGGTAAATTGAAAACGTGGTAAAATAAAATTTGGAGAATAATCATCTTCTTAGAGAATTTTTTTTAGGTTTTGTTGAATTGTTAAAATTTTGATTTGGACGATACGTTTCTGGAGTTTGGATTTAACGTTCATTATGAGAAAAACTATATATATTTTGTTCTGAAATGTAAGAGTTGAGAGCTATATATAAAGAGACAGAGATTCAAAAATCAAAAGAAGAGTTTAAAGAATTCTATAACCATGCCCTCGACAGGGTGTGGAGCAGCATTGAAGGGTGAAGAGAAGGAAAGAGTAGGCTGGTAATAATTAGTACAATTACCACACAAGGCCAACCACTGACTACCTTCCCCCTTTCTTCTTCTCTTGCTTCTCAAGAGTCAAGTCTGTGCTCGGTAATTATGGATAATTACGTCCTCGATATTCCTGAAACATCTTTGAAGATGCTGCGGGCCTCGTTCCTTTCGATCTGCACGATCCATTTCACGGTTCATCCACCCTATTTATAATTGCTCTGCGAGTGTGATATACATTACTTATTTGAATAGCCTCTTTTTTCTTATTATTCAAGGCAACTTTTATGTACATTCGTATTTTTCATTATCAAGTTTACATATCTTATAAAAGATATGTGAATATTCCTATATACAATCTCGAATTTATTTCGTTAATTTATATATATATTTCTAATACATTCTTCGAATGTTAATTTATAATAATTTATTATAAATCAAACATTTAAAACAATTAGATCTCAAAATCCAAAAGTCATTTTCTTGAAATTTAATGTTAGCTTGCGAAAAAAAATTGAAATTCCAACAAGATTCTAAATTTCCGATAAGATCACAATTCAATGCGTCTTTTTTGACACCCCTCCTAATATCCCTAAGCAACGCCTGAGAACTTTGCGCTCTGAACTCGAGAGAGTGTCACCGTGCACACGATGTTTTAAGGTTTTAAAAAGGGCGACTTAGTGTATACTGGTCCTGAAAGAGAGTGAGAGAAGACGAGTGCTTTGAAATATTAAGTGACTGATGGATGAGGCTCCAAAGGGAAAAGGAGAGAAAATTTTTGTTGAGAACAGGGAGAAAAAAGAAAGCAAGTTTATATATATATATATATATATCTATATATAAGAAAAATTCGAGCCTCTCTTCTTTATTCAGCTTTCCCGCCTTCTGATGTCCCTCTCATTTCTTTGAAATCGCAATCCCCATGCATGAATATCTTCCAAGGACTTTCAAAACTTCCTAATTAGAATCTTATCGTATGTCAGAGAGAAACCTCTTAGGGTTTCAATTTTCTTTGACTATATACTTATATATATTGAAAATGCAAATAAAAATTGATGGATTGGTGTTTGTCCTTGTGTAGTTTTTAAATTAAGAAAAAGTAAATTTAGAATTTTTAATATACTTGAAATTTATTTAATATAAAGGAGGATCGAATACATTAATTTATTAAATTTAAAAAAATTTTTATTTTTAATTAAATTAAAATTTTTATCTAAATTTAATTTTGAATAATAAAAATATGTTTTGTCTTGAAGAAATTTTTATCAGATTAGATGGATATACACAATTCATGCGTGATATAATTTGCAGGTTACTCCCGAACGGTTTATGGGCATAACGAAGGTGCACGACAGAAAGATCGTTATCAGACGTGTTATCTGAAAATATTCCTCATTGCTAGTCCAACTCTGTAACGAGTGCCGTTTCACGCATGATCGCTCGTTTTTATATATATATCTCGTGAAGTCGATAACGATCACAACTTCGAAATCGAAATATTCGGTTTGGGTCTTATATATAGAAAGAGGAGTATTACACTTATAGCTCGAGGGTGCAAGTTCAATTCCGTTCTTCAACGTTTTATATATATATATAAAGGTGCGCGCGTGTAAACGAAGTGATATTCTAGGCGCGAGCACGTTCGTTAGTCAATCGTTGTGGATAAAAACTATCCACGGTTAGTTACACCGTTCGCGTTTCCAATCAGAAAAACCCTGGAAAGAATGAGGATCTCGAATCTGGAAACGGGAGCAACGATAACCAAGGTCCTGAACCTCAAGATGCATCTACGTTTTTGAAAAAAAAAAAAATAAAAATTACCGTACATAAAAAAAAAAATTGCGGATTACATATACGTAGGAGTGAAATTGAAGACGAAAGATTGATCAAGATTACCGCAAATGCTCTACAATTTTCAATTTCTAGATATCTCAAATTCTGCATATTATTCCATGAGTATTGAATCGAAATCAATTGATGATATTATATAATTTCGCAATTTCTCTTCTTAACTTCATTTTATTTTTATTATTGCAACAGAAATTTTTTTCCAAAGTTTCAGTGAAAACATTATTCTTCATCAATATGAGAAAAAATATGTAGAGATTTTTGTTTTAAATGGAAAAACAAATTTCCAGACTTGTCTGCCGATAAGTATTATAAACAATTATCAATGCTTTGGCATTAAAATATGTTAAAATTGGAAATAATCTTATCTTTCAAGTGCGATTGTGAAGGAGTTTCACTTAGGTTTATGTTTTGGATAAGATTAAAGATAATTCTTATCGGTTAAAGGTAGAATCGATAGATTATTTATGTGAATAATGTTTGTGTACATATAAGACGATTAAAACTTTTTTTTTAAATTCGATAAAAATATTTTCTTAAGTATAATTAAATAGTATTTTGAGTAGGAGACTCATCCGTCCGGCTAAAAGATTAATGAATGGTTTCACTTTGAATTGAAATTTCGTTTTATTTGGTAAAATCGTTGTTGAAGGAGTCACTGTCCTCAAACAAAAGTCGACTGCAGCAATAAACATAAGAGAATGCGTTTGACTCGCGATCCAACATGCCTTAGGAATTCGAAGAGCTCCACGTACTAGTGGTCCAAACATCCTCAGTATTCCTTTATACAGAAAGCATAAACTCTCTGTTTACAAAGTGTAATATAGATTTTAGAACAAAGGTCCAGTATTATATTTTTTTTAGTTTCGTTTCCAAGGTAAAAGTTATCAAGATTTTTGTTATTAAAAATCGTTATCGTTTCTTTGTCATATTTTTTTTTTCTTTTTTTTTTTTTTTTTGTAATCAAAATTCATCAAAAAAGAAAAATACCGCTATATAATCTGTTTTTGTGATGAATTACAATAATATATAACGGAATATTTTGTACCGTATATATAAAAATAACGTATTTTAATCAAGGTTGCAAACTAACAAAAAGTGACCCTCGTTTTTTTTTCTCTTACACGGAATTCAAATATTTTGACTAGATTTTATTTTCTTTGTCATATACAATTTAATTGATAAAAAGTGAAATTTATATAATACCAGAAGGAAAAAGGATAAAATTTTTTAAAATGTTTTTTTACAAGCAATTAATGCGTTGCAAATGTTTTATATCCGTTTCATTATCGCACGTAGGAATGTTTTTTTTTTACCAAGAATTTAAAAAATAATATGGGATTTTTTTTCTAAAAGAAATCAAAATCATTATTTTAACTATATAATTTGTTTGAAAATAATTTCAATTGTTTTAGCAATAATTTTCGAGATTTATTTGTTGATTTTTCTTCTTTTTTTTTAGACGATAGCAGCAAGTGTATATCAGAGAGGGACGTAAAACAGCAAACTGTACGTCACAGAAGTCGCCACTAATGACGCAAAGAGAAATACTGTCTTTCACGTCGGTAGCCATTTGTAATTCCCCAAAGAAAAAGTTGAGAAAAAGCGGAATCAAAGTGTGATGATGGGGCCTGGCTATCCACAATTAGTGACACACGCTGGCAGCCATAATTAAAATCCTTGACTCAGGCTTATATTCTCTCTCTCTCTCTCTCTCTCTCTCTCTCTCTCTCTCTCTCTCTCTCTCTCTCTCTCTCTATATATATATATATATATATATATATATATATACATCGTCCGCACATTTCAAGCCTTTCGCCTTTCCTCTTCGTTCCGCTTTTGTAAATTCTCTTTCTCGCACTTGGAGAAACTAATCGAGCCACTGCCACTTGGATTTTTTGTGCACACGGTGCGATCTTCGCAAATACTCCCCGTGGACTTTAGGTCGATTTACGGACATCGGCATGTCTAACCCTTGTCGAAAGGTTCTTACCAAACGTAATTGCAGTATATCGCAAAAGTGATAGATGCCCATTGAAATTCTTTAGATCGACGCACGAGGCTTGAATTAATGTCGAGAATCAACGAGGTCTCTAACACGTTCCAACAACATTGTCTCTTCCCACTGGTGAGATCCCCTCTTTCTCTCTTTGTTTCTCTAAGGTGTGAATTTCAGTGTCAACACCTATTTCTCTAATAGGGAACTTGTCTGATGACTTTTTGCACTCCTTCATCGAATTAAACTGCCAGACTGATTGCTTATCTCATGATTTATCCCATAATCCGATAGTTCTCATGATCTGCAAAAAAGAAAAGCAAATCTTTCTTCTATAGATTTAAAATTTCCCTTGTCTAAAAATAGATTAAATAAAAAGGTGCAGAAAATAGATTATTCAAAGTTGTTTTGATAAAATGTGAAAACCATTGTTAATTCCTGAGGGGCCGAGATCGAAACTTAATTAAGGCGTTTAATTAATATCACGCGGTAGCCTGAAGGGGCTTTTGAGCACCCGAGACTAAATGACTTTTCAAGTCTTTTTCTCTCTTTCTCTCTCTCTCTCTCGATGCACCTGTGTTAATTGTTCACCGACTCTCATTTCTCTTGTTCATCTTTCTCTCTTCTTTCAAATTGTATTTCACAAGAAGGACAGTGAAACGTGAAACTGAATTGAAAATCAAGGGATGAGAGAGAGAGAGAGCAACAAGTGTCCTCGTTACGAAGCGCAAAAGCATTCCTAATTATTCTTCTGCCCTTAAGAGTCTAAGATACAAAAAAAACCGCCTTGATTACATTTTCGTGTAATGTCATCGTCAACCATTAGGCCACCCACAAATTGGATCGATGCTTTATTACGCTCTACCTAATTGCTCTTCATTATCCGCTGAAACCAAAGGTTTACCAAATGACGCTTTTGCGTAATTTAGCAGATGTTTATTACCAAACAAAAAAAAAATACCAACTTCCGGAAAAATAATTACAATTTAATTGAGATTTATTTCTTCAATTTTGTTGAGTTATTATTTAGTTGTTTTTTTTTATGTAATTACGTAATCATTTTCATAAATTTTTAATGAGAATATTGGAGATTAATTTTTTCTGTTTTATTTTTCAGTGGTACACTATCGATAGCAGTAAATTTCGAGAAGATATATTAAAATTATGGATACCACTAGGCTTGGGACCGCAGAAAAATCAACCAGATCAAACTGCCAAAGAATTTCTTTCGAGGTCCATTGAAAGATCTAATTCACTGCTTCTACAAGCCTGGCACTATCTGGCCCGTTCCATCTTGTCTTCCTTCATCAGTCGAACTTCCGTCAATGGGTGAGTTTTTATTTACTCAATTTTGTGATCAATGCAAATTTATTTAATTCATTTTTAATTGAAAAAACATTTTGAATTGTTGAAAAATTTTATTAATTCAAATCTCGGGAAATTTCTATGGAAAAAAAAATTATATTTGAAAAACAAACAAAATTAAAGGAGATGATTTTTTTTTTAATAATATCGGGTTAATTAAATCTTTTGGTCAAAGGCTTTATATATTAAACTGTGTCGATTGATTTCGAATTTGTCTCATTAATTAATTTCCCCATTGAATTCTATATTATATTCAAATTATTTAAATATACAAAATATTCTAGGACGTGTGCGGGGAGCTCTAGCAACAAAGTTATACGGCTTTATATAAGTTTATAGAAGAGAGGTAAATCGAGTTATGAGAGAGAGAAAAAAAAGGGGTGCGAGGTCCCAGGAAGGCGAGATCGTTTGTGAGGTGATGAAAGAGGGCCTTCCCTTCTCGGCGGTTAATTAATAACCACGGAGATAGGATCTCCGCCTATCTCACTGTCCGAGGAGGCTCGAGACAAGCTGGTGGTAACTTACATGCTTGCAAGGTGGGCTCTGTGTATAAGCCATGGTTATTGATGGCTAGCTTTGTTTGCCCCCCGAACCGTTTATTAAAATCCAACTCAGGTGATTAACCTCTCTCTCTCTCTCTTTCTCTCCCTTGACTTGAGTCTCTTCATCCCCCTTCTCCCTTCATATATAGCGGCTACTAGGCGCGATCAACGATCAAAAACCACCACGGTGTGCAACCTCTCTTTCATCCTGCACGATCAACCAACTAACGTCTCATTCGATGAAGAAGGAAGCTGTAATTTACATGTATTCCGTTTTCAACCTCGGTAGTAACTTACATCCCCGCCTTCTCACACACTGGAATCAATCATATATATATATTCCCCTTCTTAAATGTGTGTCAAAAATTCTATTTGGCTTCTTTATATTATGTGTGCAACCGTGCCCTTATTAATTTATTTTCTAACACATTCTTTTTTGATGATAATAACTTAATCTTCATACTAATTGATTTCTGACATTGAAAAGGACTTCTTTGCAATAAGTTCGTTTTTTGAAATTTTATTTTCACCAATTGATGAATTTAAAAATTAATTTTTCATTAAAACTCCAAGAAATTATATTGGAAATGTGTTTGATAGTTTTTTTGTTTCGATTTTGAATAATACTAATAATTAAAAATGTAATTAGTTCTACAACGAAAAGTAAGAAGAAAATATTTTAGTATAACTTAAATTGAACTTATTTTTTAAATTACGTAAAAAATTTTTTTCAATTATTCTTCATTTTTCTTTCTCGTGAAATTTTTTATAGTTTCGTTATTAATTTTCTGTTAATTATTTTTTCTTTTTTTTACTAATGGATTTAAAAAATATTGCATTTATTTTCTCTTCTTTTTGTAATTTTCGTTAATTGGCACTATTTCTTCATATTCTTATTTCAAGAATATCGTAGTTAATTTTTTTTCAATTTTTTATTAAAAAAAAATTTAATTTGTCGGTTATAAGAGAAAAAAAAAGACTGAAATTTTCAATAATTCAGTGATTTAGAGAGGTAATTTCTTGCAAAACTCTAATTAAAGAATAATTTAATTATTATTGTTTTTCCAGTGAAATTGAAAGAAATTAAGCGTTCTTTTTCTCTCTCACTCCTTACAAAATTGAGTCTAGGAAGTTATATTTCTCTCGAAGTTTGTTTCAAGAAGAAATTCCTTTTTAACTATTAAAGAAATGATGTTCCTCTCTCTTCTGAGGATAATTATTAAAATACTCTAGTTTAAATCTGCTAATTTCAACCTACAACAACTTTGAATTGCGCTTTTGTTCCAAGGCCTGAAATTGTAGCACACTCATGTCTGTAAATGCCCACTTTAGGTTCAAGTCAGTAGCGAAGGAGTTAAAGAGCAACGACTAACGATTATCCGCTTTCGTTGTGTTGCAATTACCGCGTATAGTTGCAGTTCAACAGGTGAACATTTTCACGTTCAATTTTCTCATGAAAGAATATTTATTGAAAAATAGCAACAATTCATTTTCAAATTTAGATTAATCTTATCATTGTAATTAATTTTTAGTATCTAGGCCCCCTAGGATTTTTTTTCTTAATTTTTAAAAAGTATTAATAAAATAAGAATTTTGAATAAAAAAACGATCTTTTAATTCAGTTCAAAATATTCTTAATTTTCTTGTTCAGTTTCGAAAAAAAAATTAATAATATTAACATTAACTTAACATTCAAATCAGAATAAAAATATGAGTATCGTGTATTTAATGTAAATAAGAAAACAGGAAATTATATATACTTGGCATGTAGTATAAGATAGCTATACTGAATATATACTTTTTTTTATTCTTATACTCCATTTTGGTAAACCAGCTGTTATTTTCGCATATCTAGTCCACTAAATCTAAGTATACTTTTCTAGACGTGTCTGTTGTTCGAGATTAGGTGGAAATATTTGAAAATATGTCATTTGACCTCAATGAAAAAAAAGAAGCGAATCACCTGGGTGACGATATTGTATAAATATATATATATATATATATATATATATATATATATATATGACGTCCTGTCCTGCTGAGAATATTAATTACTTTTCTCCGCGTACAGACCATTCTACATTATCCAATGTTGCTCCCGGTTCGAGACTCGCTCTCAGCTCACAAATTAATCATAATTAGCGGCAAGATGTCCTCCATCAAAGTGTTGCTTCGAGACTAAAATGAGTCGAAAAAAAGAGGCTCTTGGTAGAAAAACGAAAGAGAGAGAGACAAGGAAAAAGAAATCAGTCACTCTGAGCGTATATCCGTCCTATCTTTCCTCTTTTTCATTCCTTTTCTTCTTCTTCTTCTTCTTCTTGATTATTTTTCTCATCTCTTTTCGATTCTTTTTCTTAACTCATTTTGATTATCATTATTTTTCTTCCCTTATTTTTGATTCTTTTAGGCTCTTTTGATTCATTTCGTTTTCTTTTTGATTCTTCTGAATGCTTCCCTCCATCCTTTGAATTTTTTTTTTCTTTTCAATCTGATTCTTCTTTCTTCAAGATTGATTCTTTCCCCCCTCTATTTTTAAATTTAAATCTCTCCTTCTACTTTTCGACGCTTCTTCTTATAACCTCCTTGATCCAAAAGCGACGTCCAGTTGATTTTATTCCTTCCAAAATTACACCTAATTTCATCAGATTGGCGCGCAGGTGGTAGCCACGGCTTTTGCCGACTTCATTCCGCTTCATTCACGCTTCCCAACGTCAATTAAAATTGATTGGTACCTACCCAACTCCGAATTGTTATTGCTTCTAATTGCGGGTTGGATCTCCATTTCTGCCTGTTCAAAGACCTCTCTCTCTCTCTCGTTTATTGTCCTACTTTAATTGTTTAACATTGTTATTCCCTGCCACTGAACTGTCGTTAATTACAATTCGTCCGTTAGTTTCCACGTCGATGAGTCTTTTCGAACTCGATGTTTGGCTAACTTCTGATACCAAATCAACTGTATATTTTAATATCTATTCATTATTTTTCCAAAGAAAGTTTCAATAATTTTAAAAATTAAAAACTATTTAGAAAATATAAAATTACAATTTGAAAATTGCAACCACTTCTTCGTTTTCTTGAAACTTCTTTTTTTTTTTAGTACAAATGTACTTGATTTCATTTATGTCAGCGAACAATAATTTCAGAGCAAATTGAAGTTGATTGGAAAATTACCAATAAGCGGTTATAAGATAAGGAGTAAAAAAAAGGCAAAACTGTTTGAAGAAATAGAGGACATTTTCCTTGTAAAGATATATATTTTTATCTTCGGGTGTTTGTAAAAGAATGAAAGAGCAAGTAACTTTGAAGAATTGAAGAGCCAGTCATTAGAGGACGTAATGCTAAAAAAGAAACTGATCTCTGTGTCGAGATATTTACTTTGAACCGGATTGTATATAAAGGGTTGGGAAATGGGTGGTAACAGCAGAGGTAGAAACGCCAATGTTGAATGTTGACGAGAAATCCAGTAGCAAGTTTTTGTCTTATACCTGGGCAATGATCATGGGGGTCTTTGGTGCAAACCATAAAGTGGGGAACTGTATATATATAGTTCGTAGAAGGGAGTGTTTAGTTCCACACGCCACCTGTTACCTCCATTTTTCGACATCGCAAGAACCCCCCCTCACCCCGAGATCTTGTTTCTTCAAAAGGTGATCATCATCCCCGGTGGTATATTTATAGAAATCTCATTGTCACTTTTTTTACACAATTTAAGTTTGCATTTTTTGAAAAAATTTGTTTTTATGATCATCAGTAATTTCTAGATTAATATTTATTACTAAAATGTCAAATAATACAGGGTTTTATATCGACAAATATTACAAGAGACATGCGGTGATGTATCGAACAATCACCTTTCGTTCTTGTGTGTGTATATATGTATACTCGACTCGTGCAGTTTATGAGCTTCTTTTATGTTTATGAGTCTATGGTAGGCCATGTACACTTCTGAAAGTCAACCGTGCGCGGAAAGACCAGATTATAATTACGTTACTCAAAGCAGCAGTAATTCATCGAAGTGGTATAGAGTTCATTTCTGTGCGATGTTATTTATAATCTAAACTATTCCTGATTGAGCACTTAGGCAAAAATGATGATGACTCGTTTATACTACTCACCTCGTTCATAATTTCAGATAAAAAAAAATTCTTTTTAAATAATAAAAATTTGAATAATAAAATTACAATTTAAAAAATACTTTCTTTTTCGAAAATAGATAACAAGGTGGATTTACTGTACTGAAAAAATAATTTATTTGATTTAAATACTCGATTACTTGACTATTATCAAATAAATATTTACTTGAATAATTTTTATTTTAATTAATTGAATTGTATTTGAACCAATAATTTTTAAATTTGAAACAAATACAATTTAATTGGCTCGAATAATAATTATTTGATACAAATAAATATTTATTTGATA